GGAGAGAACGGTTGGATTTTGGCCTTGCAACGAAGAAAAAACCACAAAAGAGTCATGCATGCCGCTTAGTAATAGGAGAAATTTACTCTTCACTGACAATTTGGAAACAATCAGTTGGCCTGGGGGATCCAAGAGGCAATTGAGTAGTGAAATAAAACTGAGAATTGGTGTTCCAGTGAAAGTAGGGTTCAAGGAACTTGTGGGTGTGGAGCATGATCTTCAAACCAATAGAACATATGTAACTGGCTTCTCTATAGATGTATTCGAAACTGCAATTAAAGCTCTGCCGTATAAAGTACATTACGAATTTTTTCCATTTGAGAATGCAAATGGAGTTATGGCTGGGGCTTACAATGATCTTGTTTACCAAGTCTATCTCAAGGTATGGTTGATTAGTCCCAATACATAATTTTTGTTTTCTCTATTACTTCTCAGTCTATTATACAAATTTTTAACTTAGTTCCTGGGTTTCTTTGTCACCTATTGGGGGCACGACACACTAGAATTATGATGCTGTTGTGGGAGATACGACGATCACATCGAACAGGTCTCAATATGTTGATTTCACAATACCATACACTGACTTCGGTGTGGGAATGCTAGTACCAAATGAGAAGGACAACATGTGGATTTTCTTGAAACCTCTCTCAACAGGTCTTTGGATAACAAGTGCGGGTTTCTTCATCCTAACGGGTTTCATCGTATGGTTAATTGAGCGTCCTGTCAACCAAGAATTCCAAGGCACACGATGGCAGCAAATCGGAACGATATTCTGGTTCTCCTTCTCAACCCTTGTTTTTGCTCATAGTAAGTACTCTATCTCACTTCTTCCAATCACTATTATACAGATTTTCCTGCTAAAGCAATGCTCATCAACTCAATATTTTTTAAGATCTTTGTTCTTTGTTGCAGGGGAGAGGTTGGTAAACAACTTGGCCAAGTTTGTAGTGATCATATGGGTTTTTGTTGTGCTTATATTGACTTCCAGTTACACTGCAACTTTAGCATCAATGATGACTGTTAAACAAATACAGTTGAACTCAAGAGGGAGCTATATAGGTTACCAGTCAGGTTCCTTAGGAGTGATAGTGAACTTGAATTTCAAAGGGATTAAGCCATACCGTTCAGTTGAAGAATATGCTGATGCTTTATCAAAAGGAAGCAAGCATGGTGGCGTTTCGGCGATAATTGATGAGGTTCCATACATCAACATCTTCCTTGCAAAGTATTCTGCAGACTACTCCATGATTAAAACCAGATCTACCACCAATGGTTTTGCCTTTGTGAGTAATCTCTCCACTAAAAGTTGCATGCATTCTGGAACATAGAGGGAGCTTATAGGGGACCCCTTTGTTTATTTGTTTCGGTTAAAGTTACAATAAGAAACACGTCACTCTGCAATGTGGTTTAATGTTCCGAACCCTAAAATTTTAGGGTTTAAGCTTAAGATGGTTCCTGCAAAAAGTGATATAAATTGAAATCATATATCATCATAATTAGGTTATGTATAGGAAAGGCAAACACTGTAATTGTTCATAAACCTGAAAGATAGACCGATGTCCTAGGAGTAGTCTTGAATAACTATCAATTTTAATAAATAAAGGAAACAAGAAAAAAAGTTATACTTTTGTAAGCTTATACATTAATTTGTTATTCATACATCTTTCATATTCAGGTTTTCCCTAAAGGTTCGAAATTGGTTCACGACGTGTCAAGGCAAATAGAACATATGAGAGAAGAAGGAAAGCTTATAGAGATGGAAAAGACCTGGTCTCTTAGAAAAACAACTCTTATGTCTGAGGAAGCTACTACCACAGGTCCCAGTACTCTTGACCTCTATAGCTTTCGTGGTTTATTCCTCGTTACTGGGATTTCTTCAGCTTTTGCTCTCTCCTTGTTCTTAATTTTCTCCACAACATTTAGAAATCTGATTAGAAAGCAACTGCAATTGATTGGACGACAACTGCAGCGTTTAAGGATGTATTCCTGTCCAATTTAGCTTCCAGTGGGAACTGAATAAATTAGTCTATTGTACATGATGTCCTTTACTAATTATATAAATTGATTTCGCTCCTTCCTTTGGAGGATTCGAGTATAACACTGCATGTATAGCTATGTGCCAGAAATCGTAGTGTCATAATGCTAAAGTTGTAGTGGGAGTAACATGCAGTTTGCTTAATGCACATTTGGGCAAGTGTTCCATTATTTTAGGGAGTCGTTATTGGCACTCTAAAACAGTCTCGTTCCTTATAAAGACGTAATAGAGAAATTATATCCTGCCTCTCTGTATCGCACTCATCAAGAGTGGCGGATCCACATAGGGGGAGTCAATTGACCCCCGCAAGCCTGGAATCTGCCATAGGAACCCAAGAACTTGACCCCTACAAATGCCCAGAAGGTGTTTGATGAAATGCCCCAAAGAGGGAGCAGCCATAGCCCATAGCAAGCAAGCTTGCTTGCTGCCCAGCGCGCGCGCGAGGAACCCAATGGGTAGAAGATGTTCAAGGTGTGGGAAAGAGAGGCTTTTAGGTGTTGTATCAAACTCCGGTTTGCTTCTTTCTCTGCTGGTTTGTGGAAGAGAAGTCCCTTTTGGCATTTCCATTATGCTCAAACTGGCTCATGGCTTCTTTTTTTGTCTGAAAAACTGGCTCATGGCTCAACGCATAAAATCATTAGTAGACAGGGTTTTTTCTTTTTCTTTTTTTTAATAGGCCATGATAAAATGGGTGTTTTTTTATAAACAGAATAATAATATAATAAAAGTTCCAAAGCATAATTAACTTCTTCTGAATGCCTCGGTAAATAATGAAGTTTTTTTTTCATTAAGCAAGCAAGCAACCATTATGAAAATATAATAATTAAAATATTACCTCACTAAAAAACAAGTTAGCAGATTAAATAGAAAGAAAAAGCTTATATCTGAAAGAAAAAGTTTTTGACCATATATAAAGCTTTTGATCGAATATATGGAGTAGAACAAATGGATGTGTAACTCGAGTTGGAGAGTCAGAAAACAAGGAGTGGAAAACACGAAGTGGAAATCACGGAGCTAAAGTCATGTATGTGCTTTCCAATTTGGTTGTATGTGTGAAAAAGAATGAAATACTTGTTGACTTGTATATACTTAATTGTACATAATTGCAGATTAGCATAGTTAGAGGCTTCTTCATAGGAGTTGACTTTTAGCCTTTATTTCCTTTCCATACTTGTAATTGGCTGTTCACTATTTAATCCTCCTTTTGGGAGAAGAATAAGACAAGCGACTATTCCTATATCTCTAGAGAAGTCAACATGGTATCAGAGCTCTCTAGAGAGGAATTTTGAAACCTTCTTACAGGTTACTCCAAATTAGCCAGAAATCCCTAATACCCAGACCTAAATCCCTAAATACCCAAAACCTGCCCACTTCTACAGACACTACGACTTCTATTTTATGGATTTCCTAGTCTAATGGGAGATATAACAGATTCTTCTAATTCTCAGCCTCTTGTATCTCTTCCAGCCAATTCCAATCATCATCATGATTTGAGGAATGTCCAGTAGTTGTTGCCAACTAAGCTTGATGGCACCAATTATCTGGCTTGGTCTCATTTTGTGAGATTATATATTACCGGTAAAGGTCGGATTGGATATTTGACTGGAGAGAAGAAGCAACCAGATAATACTGACCCAAAGTTCATAACATGGGTTGAAGAAGATACTATGCTTAGATAATGGCTTTTCCAGGCTATGACCCTGGATATTAGTCTTGGCTATATGCGTCTCGACTCCACTCATGCCATATGGGAGGCGGTTTCTCAAACCTATTCTGAGGGAGGTTGTGATGCCCAGATTTATGAATTGAAATGTCGAATCCAAGCCACTACTAAGCAAGGTAAGACGTTGGAGACATTTAATTCACTCCAAGCTTTATGGCAGGAACTTGATTATTATCAGCCGTGCGACATGAAGTGTTCTAATGATATTGCTGCGTTGAAAAAACGGATCGAGAAGGAAAGTACATTTGAATTCTTGGTTGGTCTTAATCCATATTTGGATCAAGTGAGAACACAGGTGCTTGGAAAGGATCTTTTTCCCTCTTTGCGTGAAGCCTATGCATATGTGCGTGCCCAAGCTCTCCGCCGATCTGCTATGGTTATGCCACCCTTTTTAGAAGGGTCTGCCTTGATTTCTATAGCAAACCATTCGGCTTGGGCACCACTAGTACATCAATCTAGTTCTTCAGCTGTTGTCTCATTTGGTAATGTTGCTAAGAGTTCAAAATCTGATGATAAGGATGCTTTGAAATGTGATTATTGTCATTAGACTAAGCATGTGAGAGAGCAATGTTTCAAGCTCAATGGTTATCCACCTTGGTGGCCAGGCAAGAAGGGTGAAAAAGCTGAAGGCAGCAAGGGAGGAGGTGGAAAATGGGGCTGTTCCAGCTCCAGAGCCTATCACACATCTTTTAGTGATCAGAATGACCAACCTACCTCTCAGCTCTCTTCTGCTCAAATGGAACAAATCGTTGAAGAGTGTGCTCGCTTGCTCTCTGATAAAGGATCTAAAGGGGCTTTTGGTTCCTTAGCCACCTTCTCAGGTAACTTTGGTTGTTGTCTTAGTGCATCTGGTAAGTCTTTCTTGGACTCTTGGATTATAGATACAGGGGCAACTGATCACATGACTTCTAAACTTGATTTCTTCTCTCGTTATTCATCCCATAGTAAGACTTATGTTACCACTGCCAATGGTTCACCCACTCTTGTGGTTGGTGAAGGCTTTGTTTTTCTTTCGAATTCTCTGTCCCTCTCAAATGTTCTCCATGTTCCTGGATTGTCTAACCATTTATTGTTAATAAGTCAGGTTACTAAATCTCTAAATTGCTTTGTCACCTTTTATGACACTCATTGTGTAATTCAATATCAACGGACTGGGGCAACGATTGGTCGTGGTAGTGAGAAAGGGGGCCTCTATCTCTTGGATGACCCAGCTGGCTATACTAGTTCTCCCACAGTTCATGCACTTCAGTCTACTACTGACTCACCCAAGGACATTTGGTTATGGCATAAACGACTGGGACACCCATCATTTATCTATTTACAAATTTTTTTTCCTTCTTTATTATCTTTGGTTGATCTTTCTCAATTTAAGTGTGAAATATGAGAACTTGCTAAGCACCACCGTGTTTCTTACCCATTAAGTATTAATAAAGGTTCTGCACCTTTTGCTCTTGTCCATAGTGATGTTTGAAGTCCTTCTCGTGTGTCAAATTTATTCAATTCCAAATGGTTTGTCACATTCATTGACGATTATTCCCGACTTACTTGGGTTTATTTGATGACTGACAAAAGTGAGGTTTTCTCTATTTTTTAGTCCTTTCACCAAATGATCCATACACAATACAATTCTAAGATTAAAGTCTTCCGCTCAGATAATGGGGGTGAGTACATCAATTCTGGTCTCAAAGCCTATTTTTCAAATCATGGCATTATTCATCAAAGATCTTCTAGTTATACCCCTCAGCAGAATGGAGTAGCTGAATGGAAAAATCGCCATCTTCTAAAAGTTGCTTGTTCCCTGCTTCTTTCCATGTTTGTACCAAAGTCTTATTGGGGGGAGGCTGTCCTTATCGCTGCTTATTTGATCAATAGGATGCCTTCGCAAGTTCTCAAATTTCAAACTCCCCTTCAGGTGTTCACTACTGCATATTCTCCTTCTACTGTTAATCATCTTCCTCCTTGAGTGTTTGGTTGCATTAGTTTTGTGCATCTTCATCATAGTGGTAAGCTTGACCCTCATTCCCTCAAATGTATTTTTCTTGGCTACTCTGCCACTCAGAAGGGGTACAAATGTTATCATCCTCCATCCAAAAAATTCTTTGTTACTAGGGATGTTACTTTTCATGAGGAACATGCTTCTTTCTCTAATCTTAGTTCTGAGACTTCTCTTCAGGGGGAGCATATAAGTACTGAAGATAAGTCTTATAGTGTGCCAATGTTTGAGTTGGAAAAAATTGAAAAAAATGAAAGTGAAAAAAATGATAATGGAAGAGAAGGCTATTCCTTGATTCTCCCACCTGTTGGTCATTGTATGTCACCATATGATTTGGTGTATACAAAAAGAGATAAGGTGCCCTTTCAGAGAAATGATCAATCTGCTAACCCAGAGACAGGTAATTCAGAGGTAGAGTTTGTTGAACCTTCTTGTTCTTTACTTGAAAATAACCCTATAAACTCTGTTCCTCTAATTGATAATGAATTACCTATTTCCTTAAGGAGACCACTTCGTTCTTGCCCATCAAAGTACAAATATCCTATTTCAAATTTCATGTCTTCTCATTGTCCCTCCCCATGTTTTAAATCATTTGCCTATCAGTTGTCTTCTGTATCTGTTCCTCAAACATTGCAGGATGCACTAGACAATCCAAGGTGGAAGGAGGTGATGGATGAGGAATTGAGAGCTTTACGAAAGAGCTCTACTTGTGAGTTGGTGAAGTTGCCAAGGGGGAAGAAAGTTGTTGGTTGCAAATGGGTGTTCATAATAAAACATAAGGCAGATGGCTCTGTTGACAGATACAAGGCAAGGTTGGTGGCAAAAGGGTATACTCAGACCTATGAGATAGATTACCAAGACACATTTGCTCCAGTTGCAAAGATGAACACAATTCGAGTCCTCTTATCTTTAGCAGCTAACTTGGGGTGGACTCTTCAACAATTTGATGTGAAGAATGCTTTCCTCCATGGAGACTTAGAGGAGGAAATATACATGGACATGCCTCCAGGTATAGATGAGATCTCTCAAGGAAAAGTATGCAGACTGAGAAAATCATTGTATGACCTGAAACAGTCTCTTAGGGCATGGTTTGGTAGATTCTGTCAAGCTATGCAAAAGTATGGATATCGTCCTAGTCAAGTAGATCATACATTGTTCCTACGACATTCTCGGGATGTGGTAGGATTACTATTGTTATTGTTTATGTAGATGATATCATTATGATAGGGGACGATATAGAGGAGATCAGTAAGCTGAAAATACATTTGGCCAAGGAATTTGATATCAAAGACTTGGGGATACTACGATATTTTTTAGGCATTGAAGTGGCACATTCAAAAGAAGGAATCTTTGTCTCACAAAGAAAATATGTGCTTGATCTTCTGACTGAAACTGGAATGTTAGCATGCAAGCCTGTGGACACTCCAATTGGACAAAATCATAAATTGGGAGAGCAAACTAATGATACACCTGTTGATAGGGGGAGATATCAAAGATTGGTAGGGAAGTTGATATATTTGGCTCATACAAGACCAGATATAGCTTATGCAGTGAGTGTCGTCAGTCAATTCATGCACGAGCCACGTGAGGTCCACATGCAGGCAGTTGAAAGGATACTTGGATACTTGAAATCAGCACCTGGTAAAGGCCTTTTATTTTCAAAGCATGATAACTTTGCTATAGAGGCTTATACATATGCAAATTGGGCAAATTCAATTTCAGATCGGAGATCAACCACAGGATATTGCACGTTTGTGGGTGGCAATCTAGTCATTTGGCGTAGTAAAAACAATCAGTTGTTGCTAGATCTAGTGTTGAGGCTGAGTTTAGGGCTATGGCCCATGGTGTGTGCGAATTATTATGGTTGAAAATTTTATTTCGAGATTTGAGGATTACTATTCAGGGTCCTATGAGATTATTTTGTGACAATAAAGCAGCCATTAGTATTGCTCACAACCCTGTACAACATGACAGAATCGAACATATTGAGATTGACAGACACTTCATCAAGGAGAAATTATCACAAGGATTGATTTGCACGCCTTACGTGAAAACCAATGATCAACTTGCTGATATTCTTACTAAGGGAGTTTCTAGCAAGGTGTTTGAATCTTCTTTAGCCAAGCTGGGAATTCAAGTATCTATTCTCCAGCTTGAGGGGGAGTGTTGACTTGTATATACTTAATTGTACTTAATAGCAGATTAGCATAGTTAGAGGCTTCTTCATAGTAGTTGACTTTTAGCCTTTATTTCCTTTCCATACTTGTAATTGGCTGTTCACTATTTAATCCTCCTTTTGGGGGAAGAATAAGACAAGCGACTATTCCCGTATCTCTAGAGAAGTCAACAATACTAAGTATGATATTTTGGATTTGTCAATTTTTGCGTTGATTATTATCCACACGGCTGTGAATGGCACAATAATCCTTGGTAGGAAAATAATGTAAAAATCACGGATACAATTTAATCCTTTAATCCTTGGTGATCAAGAGAATAGACAAGACCAAAAAGGGCTTTATATGCCTGTTGCTTCCTATGGAATACCAATTGGTAAAGAACTACATCCAAATGGTCTCATGAAGCCATAAGATAGCTTTTTGATTTAGAGAGAACATAAATTTGAAATCATAGTTGTGGATATATACAAAATAAACTCAAAAATGCGAAATTACCCGAAGTTCATAAAAGGGAAAAATGCGAAATTACCCAAAGTTCATTAAGTTGCTGTCTTGAGAATCAAGTGCACCAGTCGATATGAGGTTCCCTCTCAGAGGAAGAACCTGACATATTCCATGACCTTTTATCAAGTGCACTAGTTCATATGCGAAATTACCCAACCTAATATGCATAAGAATTAAAAAATAAAAAAATAAAATCGTAGTATCTGGAGTATTAATATATATAAAAATTTATAAATAAACCCAATCCTAGACACATGTATTTATAAAAAAAAATTCAAACACTATTTAAACATAGAAACACACTCAAAATCAACAATTGTATATGCTTTGGGCGTGTTTATCAATGGATTTTGAGTGTTTGTAATGATGGGTTTTGGGTGTGTTTATAAAGTGTTTTGGGTGTTGGGTTTTTTTATAATTTCAGCCCTCATTTTGGGTGTTTTAGTGAAACTCCCTAATATATATAACCCTTCAAACAATTATTACTCACTTCACATTTGGCTCCTCCCTGGAAATATAACTGCAAAGAAGGAAATCAAAACAACAGTTTTTAATTTAAATGTGACTCCGATAATGGATTTCTATAATAAAATCTGACTCTTGGATGATATATGAATCCTCATAACTTTTCGAATAAAATAATAATAATACTTACTAATCTCTATCATTGGCAGAATTAGGAGAAGAAGCGAAAGTCCCTGTAATTAATGTTTCTTTCTGAACCTAGTCCTCCTCTTCCTCTTGGCAAATACCCCTTCTTTATGGAGATCACACAGGAAGAAACTTTTCATCAAGTTAAGGCTATCAGTGCCCTTATTGAAACTTTCAAATGGAGGGATGTTATCCTTCTATATGAAAACTACATAGATTGTGGGAGAGACATCTTTCCATCTTTGATTAATTCCTTTCAGGAAGCAAATGTGAATATTGCATATAAAAGTTGCATTACCTCTTCGTCAACGAATGAACAAATAATTGAAGAACTCCAAAAGCTCAAGACATTGAAGACTACAGTACTTTTGGTGCATATACGTCCCATTATCTTATGCCTCGCCTTTTTTTAAATGCGAAAAAGGTATGAATGATGAGTGAAGGGTATGCATAGATTCTGACATCAAGTAACATGAATTTCTTGCATTCCAAGGATTTATCTGTGATTGAGTCATCAATGCAAGGAGTGTTGGGTTTGAAGTCTTATATTCCAGCATCAGCCAGCCTCCAAAATCTTACTACAAGATTGAGGAGGAAATTTTACATGGAGGATCCCAATATTGAAATAAGAGAGTTAACTGCAGAAGAAATCTGGGCATACGATGCAACTTGGGTGCTAGCAGAAGCAGTAGAGAGGGCAAGGATTTCGCAAACAAGCCAGGAAAACATTGAATTGGACCTAGTGGATGATTTGAACAATATTCGATCCTCAAAACATGGAGTTATGCTTCTTAGACAGATATTGGAAAGTAGGTTTAAAGATTTAAGCGGTGAAACTCAATATATAAATGGGAAATTGAATTCATGTGCCTTTGAGATGGTAAATGTGATAGGAAAAAGGCAGAGAGGGGGTTAGATTTTGGACTTCTGCAGAGAAATACTCTCCTGATAATGGATGAAACTTACTTTCAACCAAGGATTTGAAAACTCTCATATGGCCTGGAGAATCAACAACCATTGTTAGAGGTTCAAAGTTACAATCGGATGAAATAAAAGCACTAAGAGTTGGAGTTCCAGCCACCTCAGGGTTCAAGGATCTTGTGGACGTGCACTATGACTATCTAACCAAGAGACCAACTGTCACTGGTTTCTGTATAGATGTTTTCAAAGCTGCAATAAGCGGTTTGCCATATAAAGTAGCCTACAAGTTTATTCCATATATAAGTCAACTTATGATGACCTTATTCACCAGGTCTATCTCAAGGTATGTTGATTCAGAAATACAATAGATTAAATGCTAGCTCGTGTATATAAATATCAGTGTAATGTTCTCTTGCATTGCCAAATGAATGCTTATGTTTCCAAATTGTGAACGTGGACCGCACATTCTAGCAAAAACTTTCCTGATCGGTATAGATTCACTAGTTAACAAATCGATCATATTAATAGTATGCGTTCTTGCAAAGGCTTTGAGCTGAACTCATTATGTGCTGCAACTAAGAAGTTCAAAGCTTTTTAAAGCTCAATATATATTATATGATTAATGGTCCAATCTGTCTACTAGTACTTCTCAAAGTTAATACCAATTTCTAACTATTGGTTTTCCATATCGCATATCGGGCATGCATGAATAAACTAGAATTTTGATGCTGTTATTGGAGATACAACAATCACACCTACCAGATCTTTAAAAGTTGATTTTACAATACCATTTACTGACTTGGGTGTGGGGATGTTAGTACCAAATCAAGAGGAAAACATGTGGATTTTCTTGAAACCTCTTTCAGGCGCCAGTCTTTGGATAACAAGTGCTGGTTTCTTTATCCTAACAGGTTTCGTCGTGTGGGTAATTGAGCATCCTATCAACCAAGAATTCCAGGGCTCTCCATCACAGCAAATCGGTACAGTATTATGGTTCTCCTTCTCAACCATTGTGTTTGCTCACAGTAAGTGCTCTGTCTCAAGCCTTTTTATTTGTACTAGTTTCCCTGCCAAGACAATGTTTAACTCAATTTTTTATATTTTTTATCAGATCTTGTTTATTATAAAGTTGTTGATAACTCAAATCTTGATTGCTCATATAATGTCAATTTCCAATAGATTTCTAAAGATGAGCATCTGTTTATGATAAATAATAAATCTCATCAATTTCTGATTCATAATTAATGTAAGAGAAATGAGCAATGAATGAGCAATGATACTTTTCTTTTTCTTTTGCTTGATTTTAAATATCTTTTACATATTGACATATGTCGAAATGCTGAAATGTTGTTGTACATGTTGCAGGGGAGAAGTTGTTAAACAATTTGGCAAAGTTTGTAGTAATACAACATAACCATACACTGCTACTTTAGCATCAATGATGACAGTTAAACAGATTCAATATAACCCAGAAGCAAACTACATAGGTTTCCATGGTGTATTGGCCCCAGGAACTATAGAGAACTATGTGAAATCCAAAGGTTGTAGAACGTACAATTCGGTTGAAGAATTTAATGATGCTTTATCAAGAGGAAGTAAGAATGGTGGTGCTACTGCTGTCATTGACGAAATTCCTTACATAAAGTCCTTCCTAGCAAAGTATTCTGCTAGTTACTCTATGATTAAACCCAAGCCTATATACCAATGGTTTTGGCTTTGTTTTGTGAGTAACCTTTCTAAACGTTGCATATGCATTCATATATAAATAAATAAATAGATATACATATGCGACACGTTGCACAATAGCGATTTAAAACATTGTATATGCAAGCAGTTGATTAAATGAATCAAATAAGCCTTTATAACTGATTCATCTTTTTTGTTTTCATGTTTTACCCGAAGGCTCGGAATTGGCTCAAGACATGTCAACTCGAATTGAACACTGAGAGAAGGAAGAATGCTTTTAGCAATGGAAAGGGACTGGTTTCATGAAGACACAACTACTGATCCTCATACCAGTACTCTATAATTTCCCAAGCGTTCAACAAATTCAACTTTACAAAACTGATCATAACAAACCAATCATAAACTTGCGGTTGCACCTAGGTTAGCCTAAGTTGGCTACGTACCCTTACTGAGGGATCAAGCCACACGTAGTTCTTTATACAAGAAACAAAGTGAAACCCATATGCAAGCATGAACTAAATATTCCTTCACACTTTCCAAAAACCAAAAGCTTCAAACTCTAATTAATTCGCTGAAACAAACTTATCTCTTAAGAAAGTAGTTGTGAATTGTATAAAATCCTTAAAACTTAGAAAACTCGCAATCATCGTCTCATAAATCTGAAAACATGTATTAAAACCTTCACCAATAAATACCAAGACAAAATCATCAATTTTAGTTTAAAACATCTTAAAACTCAAATACTCTCCACCTAGCCGTACCCCCAAATCATAATTCGTCAATTCTAATAATATTCCGTCAAAACAACTACCATATATGTTACATCATTGCAGAACTCGGGGGACACGTGGTTAGCCTGAGAACGCATATCTTCGCAGAACTCGGGGGACACGTTGTCAACCCGGGAACACATATCCTTGCAAAATCGAGTGGTCAACCTAAAACGCATATCCATCAATTCCCCTCACACGACTTAGGAAGATATAATTAACCTGAATGCAAATCCTCACACCACACAGTTCAGGAGTCCTCGAGACTTGTGAGGTGTTATCATAAATTACTAGACTATTCCGAAGGCAACTAGGGGGCGGGGAGTACTCTTATGGTGGGTTTGAAAACCATTTTCTTTAACTTATTATAAAATTCCTCTTTTTCTACAAATCCATTATCCAAATCCTTTCTCAACTTTCCAAAAGTTAGTTCTTAAATAAATAACCAAAAATCCTTTTTTTAAACGAGATCAATCCCAAGATAGCTCGTTTTAAAGATAAAAATATTCCGAACACTTCTCCAGAAGGCCACTAACCCATCTGAGGTCATCTTGGGCTCCAAAAACGCAATAAAAGCCCAAAACGTCACTGTTCCAGCACGGCGCACTGTTCCTTTATTTATTTGCCAGGAAATCATCGCTTGGTGGAAAAGTCTGAAATTCTGACACGATCAAGCTAAGTGACTCACGAACGTCCTCCAACTGGAATTACTCCAAAATTCGTCCATTTGATTATGTTTTGCTCCAGAGGAAGTCGAAAACCCTATATTGGAAATATAATTCAAAGTATCAAAATTCTTCCACAATATTAACCAAAATATACTAAGAATAGGGTTAAATATATAATATAAAATCGACTCATCATTAACCTTGACAACTTTAGTGGTTTATTCCTTGTTAGTGGGGTTTCTTCAGCTCTTGCTCTTTTTTTATTTTCTTTGTTCTCCCTTAACAGGAACGGGGTAAAGAAATGCATTCTTCAAAAGTACAATGGAAACGAACAAATCAAATATACTACACAAATGGTGGTTTTGTAATGCTAACTAAGGTTGTTTCATGGCTAGAAACAAACTAATTTCTAAGCAATTTGCTCAATGTATACTTGTGTATGTATTAACGAATGCTAAACAAGAGCTGTTAAACCAAAAAAATTCACAAATTTTTTTTTTTGGATTGCATTTGCCTAAGCTCACGTCCAGCAGGCTTATCTAATATAGATGATAAGTGTTTCAAAAAAAAAAGTAAAGCCAATTATCCAATAGCCTTTTCAAGTTTCAAAGCCAAAGGATAAAATAATTCAAAAGTGGCTTGATCCCACGTGCAAGTCCCCTCATTTTCCTGGAAGCTTGGTAATTAGGTGCAAGAAAGGAGTTCAGAACAAATGGGAGTTTGACCAGCCAATCTCAAGAGGTTGGCGGTTCCAATTTTTGTGGGGCTCTGCTGATCTTCAGGGATAAAAGAATTGGAAGTCCTCTAATTTGTTCTGATCCAAAGGAAGCCTATAAAAAGCAATGAGGAGGACAGGATGAGGGGGGCAGCCGGCAGGCTGTACAGGGATACAAAAAAAGAAAAAGAAAGAAGAAGATGCTGCAAGGCCTGGGGAAGAATGGAGCACAGCCTTGCTGAAGAAAAAATGACAGAGGCAATTAAGGCTCCTCTCTTGAGGTTCTTCATTATTGGGTGAGAAACCCTGAAATTTCTTAAATACAAATCCATGGGTGAGTAACCCGAAAAATCATTGAATGAGAAACCCTGAAATTTCTTGGATACAAATCCATGAGTGAGTAACCCCGAAATCATTTGGATGCAAATCCATGGGTGAATAACATGAAAAATCATTCGATATGAAATCCATTATTGGGTGAGAAACCCTTGAATCAAAATTTCTTGGAGGTTCAATCCATCTTTGGGTAATAAACCTTGAAATCAAAGCATTGGGTTTGCGGAAAGGACCCGTCCCGAATTTCCCAGAACCCGAGACGAACCCTGCGGAGACCCCGGCATCACACCCACGTCGGGTTCACTCCTTACATCTATGTCCTCGTTTACCAGAGAGGACTAAGGGCACGAGACTTTCTGCCGAAATTTCGGCAGAGTCTCCCCTGTAAATTGAACATTTCCCCAAAATTTCCTCCTGCATAAAACGCATTTTATAACCCAACCGGCAGCATGCACAATAGTCTCATGCAATTTACACAAATGGCCTCCGGCCTTCAAATGATTCTAGCAAAACTGCCCACAGAGTTTTTAAAATAACTTAATCCATCAAACATGCATATAACCACTTCCAAATCTAGTTATTCACACCTTCACTTGCTCAGTCCACGGGACGAGTCTCAATTCAACCAAGTTTCAGGACCAACAATAAGGGTCCGAACCAATCTCAATAAGACCACCTAAGTGGGGTCTAATCTGTGGCTGCACCTAGTAACTTCAGGCTGCCTACGTACCCTACTAAGGGATCAAGCCACACGTAGCTCTTTCGTATCTATCCTGGCTCATAATATGGAATAAACCATTACCGCCACACAAATAATATTCTAGGATTTATCCATCACAACACACCAAACACAATCACAATATCACCCCTCATACGATGAGACGCACCCGGCCTCGTATGGGGCCTGTCAACACGCCGGCTAATCCAAAGACACGTGCGACCTCAACACCGGGCCT